TCTATCTATCTATCTATCTATCTATCTATCACTCCACTCTTTCTCTCTCTCTCTCTCTCTCTCTCTCTCTCTCTATATATATATATATATATATATATATATATATATATATATACACACACACACACATATATATATATATATATATACTTATTTGAAAGTGCTCAATATCAGTGATAGACCTAACATATTCATTTGTATGGATATGATTTTGTTTTATGATCGCAAAAGCATGAAACTTTGGGTCACAAACTCATATTCAAACAAATGAATATATATATATATATATATATATATATATATATTGCTTGTAAATTGTTCTATTCTTATCTATTTAACTAAGTCTAAATTTGTCCAAATCTCTACCCTTCTCTAATCCTCTCTATTCTCTCTCTCTCTATATATATATATATATATATATATATATATATATATATATATATATATATATATCTCTATTCCACTCCCATCCTCTCTACTCTCTCTCTCGATACACACGCACACATACTTATATATATATATATCATTATTCTCATATCTACCTGACTCAGTTAAAAGCTGTTTTTAGCAATTTACGAATTTATGAATTTAAGTTTGTTCGTTTCTCTCCCCTCTATCTCTCTCTCACACACACACACACACACACACACTCTCTCTCTCTCTGACGATATACTTTTTTCTCATGTTCACCCTCTGCAAGGCCACAGAACAACTTGAGGTAGAGGATTACAAAGAGTGTGTGTGTGTGTATATATACATACATACATACACACACACATATATATATATATATATATATATATATATATATATATATGAATCTGTGTGTGTGTGTGTTATTTTCATATGTGTAAGCATATATTTTAATATCTATGTATGTTAATATCTCCCATTTTCATATCTATCTACCTATGCTAATAGCTCATTTTTACATCTATCTCATTATTTTTTTATATCAATATATCACTTTTTCTATCGCACTCACCTCTAGTCTTGCAAATTAATTTTTAAATGAACTTAAGGTAATTATTTTTTAACTGTTTATGCAATAATGTTTGTTTTCAGCACAATATGTATAAGCCAATAGTTAGTAGACACCCTGTTAAATGTTTTAAAATCTTCAATTTTCATGTGATGTATTAACTCATTTAACAGAGCGTCCACTGCCTGTTTAAATGTGAAACATTTCTTTGCAAGCAAGTGTCAGGCCACGAAGAATAGCACATATTCCTTTAGTCTAATTAGAGGCGTTTGAGAAAATTAGGATTATGATTCTTTGAGAGACTGGATGATCCCTTAGGAGGACCGCAGTAGACATTCAACATATGGAATCGGTTTTAGTTTAGAAATTATATCAGTACCCCGACGAATATTCCTTCACTCATAGAACAGATTCAAACACTCGCCAAGACTGACGCATTGTAACGGCTCCAGAATTTTCAATAGAAATTGAAATCATGAAATATAATCTAACATTATTACTTGTAATGTATTATTCTTGATTAAATAAAATTTTGTTTTACGAATGTTCATATCGATTCCCTTTCTTTATGCACCGTGTCCCCTCTGGTCGAATGGGATCCTGTCTTTTGTAACTCTTAATAAATTTCGTCTTTCTTTTATTTCTCATAAACCCTGATCCGCCATCCATTTCCTCACTAGGAATGTTATGCATTGTTTTCTCCTGTCTCTCTTGCCTTCAATCTGTCCTGTGATTATCAAATCACCCTTCCCACGTTATGTGCCCTAGAAACCTTAACTGTCACTTCCTGTTGTGAAGTATAAGTTTCTTTTATTGTTTCCATTTTCTCTAAAACTTCGTCGTTGATCACGTTTGGTCCATGGTATACTCAGCATCCTTCTGTAGAACCATATTTCTGCTGCTTCAAGTCTCTTCTTCATTTTCGATGAGATTGGTTAGCTGTCACTTCCATACAGGAAGATAGATATCACTTAACAGTTTAGTCCCCTTTTCCTTGTTTCTAGCGAAATCTTTCTATTTCTTAGTACCTAGCTTAGCTTCTGGAAGGCTTCTTTCGTTTATCCAATAGGTCTTCGGATTTCAGTGTCACACTTTCTGTCTTCTGCTCAAATAATTCCCAGATATGTAAATTTGCAAATCCTTAAGAAAAACAAATAAGGAGATCTAACACACGCACACATACACAGACACGTAGGCATACACACGTACACACACATACGCACACACGTATATATATATATATATATATATATATATATATATATATATATATGTGGTAAAAGAGACCAAGAAAGATCTTGAGCATCGGTGTAATATTCGGTTCTTCTTTTACGTTCCATGTCCCTTCAGGACGTACGTGATCATGGCCCTCCTCACCTTCCTGTCGCTTGTAACTCTTAATAAGTTTTATTGTTTTTATTTTTATTTCTCCCAAACCCTGTTCTACCATCAATTTGATCAAGCGTATCAATTATGTTACGCGCTTTTTTCCTCTGTCCCTCTTTCCCTCAATCTGTCCCAAGAGTATCAGATTTTCCAAACCCTCCTTCCTCATTACGTATCCCAGACATTTCGGCTGCCTCTTCCTGGTGTTAAGTATAGGTTTCCTTTTTGTTTCTCTAAAACTTCGTCGTTGCTAACACTTCCGGTCCATGGTATACTAAGCATACTTCTGTAGAACTGCATTTGTGTTGCTTGAAGTCTCTTCTTCATCTTTGTGATTATTGTACAGCGCTAAATGTCATATAGGAGGACAAATATCACTTAACGTTCAGTACTTTTTTCTTTGTCCCTAACGAAATATTTCTGTCTTTTAATACTCTTTCGTGTTGCCTGATAGTTCTTTTTTTATTTCCATCCAAACTACCACATCTAGTCTGATGCTCCTGCTATATATTTAGAGGTTCTTGATAAAATTCAAATAATAATCTGCAATGTCATTGATTCAGACATGGCATCTCGGGTTCAGTCACTTTTCCCTGTGTCTTTTCTGTAAATACTTTTGTCGTAATTGTTCTGATGAACTTTACCCCGTGGTACCTAGACTTTATGAATTTTTAGCGCAGTACTAGATTGGCGGTAAGATCTCAACTTTTTACAGTGGAATTGGCTAGATGTATGCGGAAATTCTATGCTAACAGTTTATTTTATGGCACTTTTCTTTAGTGGAATTCTCCTCTGGATTCTTATTTCCTAGTCAACTTTGACCTTCATAAATTTAAATGCAATGTCAATCATTATCTACTGACTTCTTAATTCCTTTTCTTTTATTGTTCTCTGTCTTTCATAATGTTTTTTTCTTCTCATATTCCCTAACTTTCAGAAGCGTTGCATTTTAGTGTCTTTTTGTCTTGCTTGGTGTATCATAATTAAATATATATATATATATATATATATATATATATATATATATATATATATATATATATATAAAATGTATTTCATTTCAATTTTGTCTTTGCACTTCTATCAATGTAAATGATTTAAAAATGAACGTAGGTGTATTATAAGTAGGTCAATGATCATTTTCTGACTTGTTGCATCGAATTGTAATCATGTGAGTTTTTGTATCATCTTTCTCTAAAATTCTGCAGCTCTCATTAGATTGATAGATTCATTCATTTTCTACGCCTTATCAACATTCTATAGGTTGTTTTAAGCCAGAAAATATTTTTAGAGTGAAAGAAGTTTTGAGCTGATAATGTTTTAAACACATAACTCTAGGGAAAAAGAGGTGGAATCATATTTTTCCTAGGGGCATTTGCGCATAAGTGAACCCAACTAAAATTGAAACTTCAGTCTCTGATTAACAATTCCGAGCCATCAACCATTACACCACCCGCACATTCAAACTTACAGTACTTGCTATTCCCAAGCGGTCACCCATCTAGTTACTGACCAAACTCGACTTTGCTTAAAATCGCTGATCAAGCAGTCACCCATCAATCTCGACGTTTGTTTTTTGCGTTTTTTAATAAACAACCCATTATAAGAATACACATTTCTTTGCTTCTACCTGTCTAGAAATTTAATTAATAACAAAAGTTGTTGTTTACTTCTTTTTCGCATCTTGAAATACAGAACCGAAAATTCGACATCAAAAATCTACAGGCACATTGCAATAGCAAAATTGCTTTCCAAAAGCTAAGCAAAGTATTTCATTAAAAGCAAAGAAAAAATATACTGAACTGCTATGTAATATTAATTTCCGTCATATGGTAGTGAATGCTGGACAATTTCCTCACGGACGAAGAAAAAAACTTGGGGTAAGAGAGATGTATTAACACAGAAAGATTTTTAACAATAATTTCTCCACAAGCAATGCAATAAGCCACTAAGATGCAAGAGGTTACTGGGTGTGATAGAATGTGAAAAAAAGAAGAAATTATTAAGGAGAGAGAGAGAGAGCAATGAATAAACCAGTTATTAAGACGACAAAGGATAATGATTGACATTGCATTTAAATCTTAGAAGAATAGTTGACTCGAAAGCAAGAGGCCAGAAGAAAGTTTTACAACCGATCAGTTAAAGAGAAGAACCAGTTAGCAGTGAACTTACGGTTAAAGGTAACCATTTCAACTGTAACATGATGTGACCTAGCTACCAATCTATTAATGCATTGTTAAAGTTGATTTACCATAGAAGAAAGCTTATCAGAACAATTATCATTAACATATTTACAGAAAAATTATATTGGTAAGAAACCACCACGACACCCTCCGTTACTGAACCTGTGAGTAACGAGGAAATTTTAGGGGAAATGGAAATGAAATAAAAAAGGCCACTTATATTTAGAATAAGAAAGAGACAACTGACATATCTAAGACACATCATGAGGAAAGTAGCGTTTGAACATCTGACACTCACAGGACACACTGAAGGCAAAAGGAAGAGATGAAAGAAATGAATGATCTATCTACCGGATTTTTATGAATAGTTGGCAGAAAAGCATTTAGAGAAATAACAAAAAAGACAAACCTAAAAAAGATCTACAGAGTAGAGAAAGTTATAGCGGGCCATGTCCGCTCTCTCTTCATATTTTCATTTATATTGCATTCACAACGTTTCTTTGTATGTCACTTTATTTTTTTTCTTTACAACCTTTTCTTTCTTTCTTTCTTTCTTTCTTTTTTGTATTTTTCTCCCTATATTTTCTTTTTTGTCATTTCTTCCCGTTTCTTTGTATATTTCTTTCTTTTGTTTTAGGCCATTTTTAATCTTTCTTTTTCTTTCTTTCTTTTTTTGCTATTTTTCACTTCCGATTTGCTTTTTCCTTCTTGATTCTTTTACATATACTTCTTTGGCTCTTACATATTTTTATTCTTTCTTTCTTTCTTTTTTGTATTTCTCTCCCTATATTTTCTATTGTGCTTTTCTTCTTTTTCCTTTGGATATTACCTTATTTTGTTTTCAAATATTTTAATCTTTCTTTCTTTCTTATTTATTCTGTCTATTCATTCTTTTTCTTTCTTTCAGGTTTGCGTGTTGTTTTTATCATTTTTTATTCATATTATCTTTTTTTTACCCTGATTCTTTGTATATTCACTGATTTCTTGTATTTCTGGGTTTTTATTTTCCTTTCTATATTTTCTTTTCTTCTGGTTTCCGTGTATAATTTTCTTTTGTTTTTGTCCATTTTTAATCTGTCTTTTTTTTCCTTTCTTTCTCTTTTGCTATTTTTCTTCCTATTTGATTTCTTCTTCCTCCTTCGTTGTATACTTCCTTCTTTTGTCCTAGCATGTTTTTCTTCTTTTCCTTTTTTTCTTTCTTTCTTTCTGCATTTCTCTGCTCAAATTTTTTTTCTTTGCTTTTCTTCACGGTTCTTTGTATATTTCTTTATTTTGCTTTTTCCCATTTTTATTCTCTCTTCCTTTTCACTTTCTTTTTTACTTTCTTTTTTACTTTCTTTCTTTTTGAGTTTTTCTTTTTTAATTTCTTTCTTTTTTTTTCTTTCATTTGTATTTTCTTTTTATTTCCTTTCTTCTTTTTACTTTCTTTCTTTCTTTTCGCGTCACTTTTTCTCTACATCCATTGTTTCCTTCTACTTCTTTATATTATTTTTCATTTTCTTTCTCATTCTATATTGACTCCCACTGTCTTGCTGACTTTTTTTTCTGTCCAAATTTCTTTTATTTTCTTCATTCTTCACGAGGGCATTTTTTCTTTTTTTTTAACATTCGCTTCCATTACCCGTCATTTCACGTCTCAATGACAGCAATAATCGCTTCCTATCGTTCCCCTTTTTCTACTAATACGACAGCTGCTAATAATGCTACGACTAACACAATTGTAAAAAGAAAACTTCAGCTTCTGACAACCAACTCTATATTTTCTCAGCTTTTCCTCTCCCAGCTCGCAATTAAAGAGATATTTGTCTTAGCTGATCCCGTAAAATGGAAAGAAAGAAAAAATATTACCTCGCACATCAGCGCGTTAACTGGCGGCTAATATCTTGGAACTTCTGCGGTGGGTATGACACCTCTATTAAGCGAGGGCAAAAAAAAAGTTTGGCTTAAGATTACAACTGATTAATATAAAAAAATAATAAATAAAGGAAATGAGAAAACTTCAGTTTCCCCAGATTGTATAAACGTGCTTTTTTTATATCGAACCCTAAAATCAGCGGCTTTGCATGACAACTAAATTGTTAAACTTAATAAGCAATCTCTTTCTTTCGTTTGAAAGGTTTCCCGAATGTCAGCCTTGTTTAGATAGGGAAGGTCAAATCAAAATCTTTTTATTGGCCGCCCATTCACGAACTTTTGACAAGTAAGGACAGATTGAAATTAAGGTAAATATACAGAGAGAAAACCTTAACAATCAACCTACAAATAATTACTTGAATCTGTGAGAAATTTAAGTATTGTTTCAGAAAGACTTTTCGTAACGGTAATCGAGAAATTAACCATTTCGGTATTCGTTGGGATGTGCGAGTGGTATGCTATAAATATAAGCTCGGATTTCAAACTCGGAGAGCCGAGTTCGAATTCCAACTGGGTTCTTTATGTTCATTTACGCACAAATATAATTCGGGAAAAGAATGATCTGTCTCCTTCCCAAATTAAGGGTTAGATAGTAGAAACTGTATCTGGTAAAATAGTTGTTATTCTAAAAATGTTATTAACACAATATTCACTCCCACATATGCATTATAATTCTGCATAACCCTACGCTCGATTGAAGTGGGGGTAAATAGAGATCTTCCTCTTATTTACAGAGACGCCAGTAGTCACGAGAGCCAAAGCTTTGCTCATCATTATATCAGTAAACAGGGACTCCTTCGAAGACTCGCTTACATTTGCAACGGACAGTAGCAAATAGGCCCCTGTTATGATGAGAGCTATCAGGCTGATATAGCGTGAAAATGTGTTTCCTGGTTCGAGCATGCTGGTGGGAGTATTGTGATTTCACCTGTTACTTCCGAAAAGGGATGAAAGCGTCCATCACCCGGGAAGAAACCCCAGTGGCGCACTTTTCAATGAGTGAAAGAGGTCTTATAGATAGGGGGTTCCTGTTTAGTAGATGCCGAGTGATTAGAGTTACCAAGAGGGTGGTATTGTGAAGCTTGATAAGAGCGGGGAGAGGAAGTAAGAAAGGTAAGAAATAAATCCAATAGAGAAGCATATTGGCATACCGGTAACATCAATCTCTTTGGAATGTTTCGGCCACGTGTCATGGTGAGCATTATGGGATATAATAGAAATAAAGATGACTCGTTCAGTTGACCTATTTGAAAATTTTGCTGTACTCCGTTAGCAGTTGCATGTACTATGTTCCTTCAGGACGTACACAATCATGGCTCTCCACCACATCCTGTCCTTTGTAGCTCTTAGTAAGTTATCTCTACTAATCCCTGGTCTGCCATTTATTTACACAAGCTTATTAGGTAGGTTACTCACTGCTTTACCCTGTCGGACTTACCTCCAGTAGGCCCTGGGAGTATCAGATTCTCCAAGCATACTTTTCTTCTTGGAGGGGATATCTCAATATTCGCTGCAGGAGGACCTATATCACAAAACATTAGAACTACCTTTTTGTTTGTTTCTAATGAACGTTTCCTTTGCTTAACATTTGGAAGCGATTTTTTGACAGTGTAATGTGCCTTTGGTTATTTGAGTCACTTTTTCTGTCGTCTGTTAAACCAAGTTGTAGATATTTAAATTGTTATACGCGCTTAATTTTGGTGTTTCGCATATTGGAGTGTTCTTTTTGCTATTAACCATGTACGGTCAAATCACGCTAGCTTACGGTCAAATCACGCTGAAAACACCGGTTCTCGTTCGATCACCGAAGTTAAGCATCGTAGAGCCAGGTCAGTACTTAGATGGGGGACCGCTTGGGAACAGCTGGTACTGTAAGCCCCCAAAATCCAACCCTTACCTCACAGTCGGTGGGGGTGTAAACTGTAGTGTCAGAGCTATGCCGCCCGGAACTTCGTTCCTGGTAGGGCCACTCAAGGCGGACAGGTCTGACACACACGCCGGCTAACAAGGGCTCTGGTGAAAATCCAAGGAGCGTCTGCATCGGTAACCGGCGGCTTCTGGTCGTTCCTGTCTCTGCGTCTGTGGGAACCCCGAGGCAAGCAAGAACGTTATCCGAGTAAGCCTGGGTACCCTACTTCTGTAATTTATCCCAAGAATCTTCTTCTCATAACAGGAAGAAGCCGGCTCAATCCGCCCAGGGTGAATGCCGCATCAGTACAGTACAGTTTTTACCATGTACCCTGTCTTCTGATGTTTAGTCCTTTCTTCTTGCTTTACTATCGTCTCTAGGAGTTCCGGTTGTTGCCTTTTTGTGCCCTTTGTGAAGGGTCCTGATCAACCACACCCCGAATGAACACAGAACATGAAAGAATAAAATTAGTTTGGGATGTGGTACGATATATGTAAGTGTTCTACTCTTATATCTACTCGGGATCAATGTTACTTTTATCAATCCACCCCAAACAAGGCGATAATGCCACTAAGAAGCAAAGGGCTACTGGGAATGAAAGAGAATATAAAGAGTTTAGATGAAACAACGAAACCAATCTTAAAGAAGAAATGCGATAAATATGTACTCCTGTTCAAAAGACCAGAGAGGAGTGTAAACAGGACGACAGGCGATATTTCGTGTTTTCCAAGATCACACCCCTTTCCCAGTTCGAGAATTCCTAACTCAACACAGCCAACTCAACACATCGTCCTTTGTAGGACGATAAACTACATCCGTGTCCTGGCTATGACGATAAACTACATCCGACAGCAAGCCATCTGCTCAGGAGTTTTTGAGGAGCGTAGAACCATCTCTTAATAGATGATGTTCCCAGGTTCACCCTGGCTCGGGGTGGTAGCGCCTGTTAGGGTCCCAGCTATGGGCAAATAGAAAACCCCCAAAGTGGGATCAAAACACTTTGTAAAAAAAGAGTTTTAATGTGGATTTACTGGTGCGCAGTGTAAGTCTTCTTTCATTGGATTTCGAATTGATGGAAGGTTAAATGTTTATACTGGTCAATATTTGTTGCTAATGTAGAATTTAGCTGACACAAGGATGGTAGGTGGTAGATTAACTCCGAGTAAGTTGACAAATTCCTGAAATAGTGTAGATTGAATCTTTGCTATTCTGTTGATATTAATCAGAGATGGCAATCTATATGTATTAATTCAGTTGTTTCTTACCGCTTTTGCGATAGTTCTTGCATAAGTATCTGGAATAAAATAAGCAGCAGACCGTAGAATAAAATAATTCAATAAAACACACTTGTTTTTAATTAAGTTTTAATAAAGTAAATCGTAATGTAATTTATTTTTTAATAAAGTAAATCAAAATTCTATAATACTTTTATGAAAAAAATATGACATTTAATTTTGGGAAATTATTAAAATTATTTAGTTTATTAAAAATAGATTACGTTACGATTTTCTTTATTAAAAATTGTTAAAAACAAAAAAAAAACTTTTTCATTTTGTTTTTCATATTTTGATTTACTTTATTAAAAAAATAATTAAAAACAAGTTTGTTTTATTGAATGAAAGTTAAAAAACATTGAATGAACCCAAGATTAAAAACAGAAGAAAGTTGAGTTTTACTCAGATAGGAACTCACAAACATGTACCGACGAACAACAAACATAAGATTAAAGTTTGTAAATAAATTTTATATAACAAAACACAAAAATATAAAATATCGTAAAAGTCTAGAGTGGCAGACAGACATTTAATTAAAGATCATTAATCTGATATTGGATGTCAGTTCAAAAGCTTGTGTTTCAAGAATTTATAGTTCGAGCTTTCGTAATGACGGGCAGACCAAGTTGCTGTAGAATGCTCACAAACCTTGGTTGTTATTTTTTCCGCAATGTGAAATATCGAATTCAAGAATAAAGTTTGTGTTCTGTTTCTCCTTTGTTAATTGTATTGTATCCGAAATGAAAGCACGATGATTTCTTTTTATTTCTTTGAGTATTATCTTTCCTATCTTTCATTGAATAGTCAAATAGACCCAAGATCTCCGGGACGAAATTTCCTTATTCCCAACACAATAATATAATAGGTTTGTGGGTGTACTTTTCATACTTTACGATCGCATAATGGGAGCCTATTTTTCTCGCCAACTGTTGTCGTGGGAGGTCACCGGGAAACTGAAGTTACAATACCAAAATCCCACTTCGTAATGTATCATGTGAACGTAGTTGACCAATTCCTACTTTTCTGTTTGTTGTCAAGCAATCCCAAATTCTCTTCCTTCTATTTCTTAGGAATTCAATCTGTTTTTGTCAACTGACCCCAAATTCTTTTCCTGACAGTTCATCGCCGAAACAAGACTCAGTCCAGATAGGTAGTAAAAGAAAAAAAAGTGGAAGGAGGAGAAGTAGAAATACAAAGACATCGTGTCTTTTATTAAATTTATTGTACTACTGATTTAACAGATAACATTGAAGGCCATGTCATAGTATATATACATATATATATATATATATATATATGCCCTTTACAAAGTTCGCTATTCGATAATTTATATATATATATATATACATAAAAAGAAATATGTTGTAGTGGTTCCAACGAGAGAAAAATATGTATATTAAAAGAAAGTTCGCAAACGTTTTTTGGTTGTATATGAGATTTATTGAAAAAATATTATACTTTGTTTTACATAATTTCACGACACGTGTTTCTCATGGTCTGGTCTCGCAACCGAACTTGAAGTGAAATTAATTATTTTTAATAATATAAAATAATGAATTTTTCTTCAAGATGGTTCAATGTGACCAGAATATTCTCGAAATTATGAAAACATTCTTTTTGAATAAATCCACATTACAAACAAAATGTTTCATATCTTTTTTAATATATATATATATATATATATATGTACGTAAATTATCGATAATTTACACACACACACACACACACACACACACACACACACACACACACATATATATATATATATATATATATATATATATATATATACATAAATTATCGAATAGCGAACTTTGTCCAGTCGATGGAAAATGAAGAGCCACGAATGTGATTTACCAAGCAACCATTTACCGCAAAGAATATAAGACCAACCACCATATTTACATTGGGATTTTCGCGGGTGAATGGAAACAAAGACTATATACCATAGACACATTTTATCCAACTCATAATTAAAATCCCAAACTGCTTTTTCCAAGAAATTTTGGGAATTGAGACAGAAAAATCTGACTCCTCATATTGACTAGAAAATCATAGGTTTCCCTCGCACTCCTAGTAGTTTTAAAGGGAGATGCAAGGTTAGAGTAATTGAATTATCAAAATATTCTACATAACTAAAGGAACGAGTTCTAGACATTGTCACCGAAGTAGATTTAAACTGATGCAGATTTTTAGTGAACTTAAACTGCCATCACCTAATACATGTACTGTACTACTTCCACTTTCCTATCACATAATTTTCCTTAATTTTCATTATTCACCCATTACTATTAATTTTTTCACCCAATTACTTTTAGTGTTGTGCTGACTATTTCTATTGTATATAATATTATCTTGTTCTTATTATTACCCTTCTATTTGTGTTTTACTATGTTTCCCAACAATTTATTCATTTTTTATTAGTATTCAAATTAAGTGTATTTAATTTTTGACTTTAAGTTGTTACTTACACTTTAATATTATTCATAGTTCTTTATGTTTTTAAGTTATTAATTTATTCAATTTATTTAAATTATTTCTCTATCTTTTTAGTAGACTATTATTACTTAATATAATATGGTAGTGTCATTTAATAATATTTATAATTGTATTGTATTATTTAATATAATAATAAATATTCTTTATTAATATTTAATGATATTATTTAATATTAATGTTATAATAAAATAATATTAATAATATTACTATGTATATTTAATAATTATATCTCATTTCTGTTTATATTATTTCTTTTGTTAATTATCTGTAATTATTACCTATTGAATTATATTTCTTTATATGTTCAATTTATTTAACAACTCTGTTATAGTAATTGTTTCTACATCATTTTGTTGCAACGATTTATATGCATAATCTTTTTATTTTTAAGTATAGATGTTTCTTTTCACTCACTCTTCTTAAGTGTTGGTTTCTTATAAAATAAAAAGAAAAACTCTGATTCTTTATTTTTTCCCTATAAATGGTCATAGTTTTATTAATATTAATATATGTTCTTTATACAATATTTATATTATTTGATCTATTGTACTCATCTTTGTCGCCATATTTATTGCAAAGTTTCGACTGTTGTACGTTCCGGCCTTCTTCAGTTGGCTGGAATGTCGAACTCAACCCTTTATTTCGTTCACTGGGGTAGGCTGTTCTAGTTCCAAGTGCCATGTTTAATGGATGTCAGTTATCAGTTATCTCCTGTTAATTCTCCTCGCCATGTTCTCCATCGCCTTAACAAGGTATTGAACACACTGTCACTGGATCTAACTAATGCCTTTATCCACAGTGCCATGTGTCCATGAGTTCATCTGTGAATGGATTCCTGGGTATTATAAACCTAATGTCTTTAGCAACCGTGTTTTAGCGCTCATATAGCAATTTTTTGCTGTTAACTTTTAATGTTTTTACGAGAGATCATATTTTAATTTATGTTGTTATTATCGTTTTTCTCTGGCACTCCTTATTACTGGTTCTAATATTGTATTCATTTCTATACTTGATCGGTTCAGGAGATTTTTGTGCCCTAGCATATGTGCTAATTCCTTAAGTTTACGAATTTTCCAATGGTTTTCTTTGTCTATGATCTCAACCTTATCCCACAGAGGGCGGTGATATTCATTTTCTCTCCAAATGTCGTCAACCAGGTCTGATCTTTCGATTTCCCCTCGTTTTAAGTCTTTC